ATGCTTACAAGTTTAATCACTTTTTTGTGCCCTTCTTTTTTTTCTTTGCCATATTTCTCTTCCTTTTTTTGACTACAACTTTTAAGCTTCCACCTTCTTCGTCTCGTAGTTTTCGCATCTCTGCCAAGTGCTCCTGTGTGTAGGCTCGCGCATTGGGGTTGGGCAACGCTTCTAGAAAATTATTGCCCGAATGGCAAACTATGCAGTGCTCCAAATCTGGCGCAACACCGACAAAGTCACCGCGGAGACAGGCTGTGCAGATTCTGGTGCCGCAGAAACGACAGCGCTGTGTGGTTTCGGTCTCCACGCAGTGGCCCCATATACACATGGCCTGTCACGCACATGTGATCGATTGGTATGCTGTAAGGGGAAAAAATAAGTAAATAAATAAATAAGCACGTCTACCACAAACAGTAACTTGGAGCTACAGCAGAGGAAATGCGTTGAAACTGAAGGTTATCTAAAGGTCACCGTTCACCGACACACCGAGTCGCTTCTGTGTTTGAGGGTCGGAGCCCAATAACACCCAATTCTGAGGTCCTGGAAGCCCTGTCGTATGCATCTGTTCCCTTTGTATTTACCCGTGGCCAACAAATTATCTCTTGTGAGAAAAAGGACCCATGTTGTTCATCACAACGGATGAGATGGAGCACAACAGATTGTCACGACATGTAGCCTTACTATGTACCAAAGGCTACATAGTTTAATCCATTTTACTATTTCCATAACGTAGGAAATATAGACCAGCAATTCCATACCAACGAGGTGCTACCGAGGCTGCCTAAGCGCCTGAACAATTCAGCAGCAATAGGAGCAATTTAGTAACAGAGATTCACGTTTGCCTACTGTAGACAATGAAGGAGTCCTGCAGGAGAGATCACCGCATCTGAAACCTACGTGTAAGGAGGGTTTGCACAATTGTGATGACATTTGGATGAATGTTACAGTGACAACCCTCCAGTTGAAATAATAAGGCTGGGTGGCCATTCTCTGCAAAACCGAA